CATCTGAATTGTTTAAAAACTGTAGGCAACTTGTAGTTTGTATACATTCATGACAATGTACATCATGATTGAATCTAATCTAATTATTATTATTATTACTATTATAACAAGACGAAATCAAGTGTGTATATATGGATATATATGTGTGTGTGTCTATTAAGATTGTTGAAATCATCATATTCAATGTTGAATGACTGCATTTTCGGTTAAATGTTCTAAAATGATCACTTTCTGGACAGAATTACTCGTATATTATCCGATATAATTATGTTTGTGTGTGTGTGTGTATTTTATCCGTTTAAAACTACTATATGAATATTGTTTGATTATGATACAAAATTTAAAGTATTTTAGTGAACCGTTGGCCAGACCCTATCAGTAACAACCTAATGTGGTAGAGAACAAACCAGATTCCAGTGGAGGAAGAAATCAAGAAGAAGAGCTGTAAGTGAATAGGACACACATTAAGGAAACCACCCAACTGCGTCACAAGGTAATCCCTCGTCACGTGAAATCCTGAAGGCCAAAGGAAAAGAGGAAGAACAAAGGACACATTACGCCGGGAAATGGAGATATACATGAGAAGAATGAACAAAAATTGAATAGAACTGCAAATGAAGTCCTAGGATAGAGTGTGTTGGGGAATGCTGGTCGGCAGCTTATGTTTCATGGGGAGTAACAGGTATGAGTAAGCAAGTAATTTTAGTCACCCGCGATCTAGCTTCATGGAGATTGGATAAATGATTGTTATTGAATGATTACTGTTGACATGTATACATTCTGACTACCTTCGTATTTAATCATCAACTTAAATTGCAATAGTGTGTAACGGAATTAAAATAAGTCAAATACAAGAATAGATTGTTGAATAAGTGTATTTCATGCACTGATCGATCCGAACAGACAATCAGACGGTCGGAGAAAAAGAGGTGAAGAGGAGAGAGAGAGAGAGAGAGAGAGAAGCGAAACAAAATGATATGCAGTGGAGAAGGCGAGTGAGCCAACTAGATTTGTACAATGATGAATCGATATTTATAGATAAAAAAATAAATCACGGACATGTGATGAGTCAGATAAGAAATGCACGCACACACTGACATAGAAACAGTCAAGGTTGATAAACCAGTAAGTGACATGGTTAAAAGGTACCTTGAGAAAAATGGATAATTTGGTTTGTCCAAAGGCTAGAATAACTTACGTGGTCTTGACGTAGTAACAGGTCTTACAGTACTCCAGTCTTCTCTTCGTTAAAATACACCATTTTTGTAACAAAGTGAACATCTCTGGGTTCGAGTCCCTGGATATTAAATCTGGGATGCAGGTACATTCAGCTGATGAGCCCAAATAGGACGAAACGCGCGGCTATCCATTGCTTACAGGTTTTCCATGGTGATCTAGTTTAAATCAACTCATGGATTCAACTATTAAAATTACTATAATATCCACAAAATTCACAAAAACTCGGAAAACAATCATTCACAAGAAAGTTCATCAGAATATATTGCTTTATTTAGGCATTGTGAATTAAACAAATAACTCACTTCCATCTTAAATGAACGCTGATTTTGTTAAGGACGATAATGAAATATATGCTATTAGAATATCTAGATCTGAAAAGTCTAGACAAATAAAAGGCTGATAGGTCTTGGGTTCGAATCTCGCGAGGTGGGATCGCGGATGCGCACTGCCGAAGAGTCTCACAATAGGACGAAAAAGCCGTCCAGTGCTTCCAGGTTTTCCATAGCAATCTAACTTCAATTGACTCATGATCTCAACTATTAAAGTAAAAGCTTACAACTAAACTAGAAATTCAAGAAAAGAGTGGTTTAAGAAAATGATATGTGATTAGTGATTATGAAAAAATTCGAGTTCATTAACTCGGAAAATTGGAGGTTGTTTATAGAAAACTCCATTCTTGTGATTTTTATGGTCCAGATAGAAAATGCTTAATTCAATCAATTTAACTAAGACCCTATTCCATGTTTTATTAAAAATTCTACACGACTCATTTTTTATACTTTTATGGACGTATCATTGATGTGTATTTATACACACTTTCAAAATATCAGAATTGGGGTTTATACAGATTGTAGTAATTTTAATAGTTGAATTCATCAATTGATTTAAGCTAGACCATCATGGAAAACCTGGAAGCAATGGATTGCCGTTTCGTCTTAATATAAGACTCGTCAGCATTGCTCATCACGATCCCACACGTGAGACTCTAACCCAAGACATTCGATCTTGCGTATGAACGCCAAACTTCTAAACCACTGAGTTGGTAACCAACGGTGTTTATATCCAACTACTGAGGAGTCCCATACCAGGAGGAAACGGCCGCCCTTTGTTTCCAGGTTTTCAATGATGATCTAGCTTGAATCGACTTGTAAACTCAACTGTTGAAATTTCAAAATTACCAGTTTTCTTTCTTATTTTATGTATTTAAAGTTCCGCTCATTTAAAAGTAATAGGCAATGATATCTACTACTTATTTCAATAGTTTTAATTAAAGAAAACAATTCTACAAACGCAATAAGAAAAAAAAAATAAAAGGAAACATTTGAAGGGTAAACCACATTGACAAACACGTTATGTGGTAATAAAAAACAATTTAAAAGGGAGGGGGGAGTAAAATAAAATAATGAAACGTTTGTAAAGAAAAAAGAAGGTGTAGGGAATAAAATAGCTTGAAGTTAGGCAGATTGCTATATAATGAATGAAAATTGTGAGCAGAGTAGAGGAAATAAAGAATGAAGGATATTGCTATGAGTAACAAAGGGAATACGTTTTGGTCAGAGTGATATCAGTATCTCAATTTATTGATTCCCTTAATCCACTTTTTTGACTGTTTATTATCTTAAATCTCTTTAAACTCTTGCGCATAGAAGACTTGTTTCAAATACGGAATTCTATATTGTACCAAAATATAATATTGAATAAAGCCATTAATAATAATAATAAATATGTGAATGTTGAATTCCATGCAGTATTGGATATCTTGTCTTAGTATAGGACTCCTCAAGAGTGCACACCCATTGACGGTTGATCCCATGACATTTAGGGTTTTGCAGATAGCCTTATAAGAAACACTTGGGTGTTCAAGCCTACATGGAATCATTATTAAACATTACATAGCAGTTACATACTAGAACAAAACAGCTATCCGATTCGTCCTGGTTTCCAAGAATTGCCTAAGATCACTCGGCGATTTAAACTAAAATATGCAATAACCTGAAACATCCCCCATACTGATTTGACATATCATTAGTTTTGAAAAGTAACTAAAGCCTGTTCACAGCTTTGGGGATTTTCAGTAATTGTTTCAATAGTCATTTCTCCAGTGTGAACTATAATTAAATTGAAGAATTTCCATCAACCTACTGTAATAATAATACTGAATATTTGTGAATAAATTACAGGTACTAATAATGAAGGTTCAGATATGTGCTCCAGAGTAGAATGATGTTATCTAGTGAAATTCTTCAACAATGACTAATAAGATTTGTTTGTATTCATTGCCTAGTCACCATTAAATTCAGCCTATTCAACAATGTCCAAGGTTGACAATTTCTATGTATAAAAAGTTGTAGGAGCATCAGTGTAGTAAATGGTCATCACTATTACTTTTCTAAGGTGGGACACCGAAAGACCAATTCTATTATTTGTTTATTTAATCTAATCACCTTGGAATTAAAATTGCCTGCTACGACTAAATCCTATATGAATTGGAACAATGGGGTGTACCTATACATATGAGTTATCACCACTCCAATTAACCGATTCCAGGAATGATCGTTCTGTTTTGAATAATAAAATTATGCCTACATCACGACAGAAAAACGTTTCTACCGAATCTCTAGATACCTAAAGCGTGGATAACGTTACATTTGATTAGTGAATGACCAAGTTTAGTATGTTGATTTCAAATATAAAGTACCCATCACTGATACGAAATTCTAGAAATTAAAGATGGTTGTTTACTTGAACATGGAACTCTAAGGACAAGCTCTTCAGCATGTCGTTGGTAATGTTACTGTACATCTAAACTAAAACTATGAAGCATATCTTTCGTTCTGATCTTATAACGATCAAACGAAATAGAACACAGTTAAGAAGTAGTATAAAATACATGTATATTCGTTTGCTATGATGATTCTGAACGCTATTATAACTTCGAGTTCTTTGTGTGTTGCTTTATTGATTTAAACTCAATGTGATCCAACAACGCACACTAATACAAGTACTTATCAAGTTGTATATTTTTGGAAAATAATTAACATCAGCGGCAGATCGAATATGGTATCACACAACTATCTCAAAGGTAAGTCAGTATTCTTCAAAGTCTTATTTATTTATTTAAGCATATAAACATTGGTACAAGAAGGCACTAGATATATATGCGTCACATTTCATTCGATTTGTGTGAGGACTAGAATACTGCAACGTAGAACCTGTCATTTACTATATGCTTCGCTTCCAGTTCTCAGATCGCATCAGCATAACGAAATGTCGGAGTAGTATGATAACAGTATTAGGCTAAGGGAATATGGCTCGAGAAGAGCGAATTCACAAAGCAAAAGATATAAGATCATTTTGAAATTTCAAGATTGAAGAGAATACCAGGAATGAATCTAACTAAATCATTGTGAATGTTTATGAGATGTGTTGTCACTACAGTTCTCCAACCATTGGTCACGATAATCGTGCAGATCTCAAACAGATAAACTGCCTATAGCAATACGGCTCAGTTTAACGATCAATGACAACATAGACAGATGTCATGAATTGTATTAATCGCTTTCTCTCAACTTAATCCTACACTAAAATTATATGTCGACATTGTCACTTATCTTAATTCATTTCAGTCGAAGTAGATCCAATATTATTCACACCTAGGTATCCTTTATTGGCTTAGAGTTCTTCAACTCGAACTATCCATCATCTCAAAACTACCAATACAATCAATATCAATAATTATAATAAAGGAAAGTCAATTTATTGTATATTCAATTTATTGAGACTCCTACAAATAAACTCAATTGGATAAATCAAGAAGAAACAAATATCATGTGTAATGAGAAATGAGAACAGAGTTAGTAAGTGAGTGAGTGAGAGAGAATGATAAATTGCTTCTTTTTTTTTATAAAAAAAGAAAGAGAAAACAAAATTGATGGATGATTACGGGTGCAGCAAAGAAGACGATCAGTAATTTCTCGTCTCGTGTATATATATGTATATATGTGTGTATGTTAGCCTCCGTTACACACAAGTACACACATATACATATATGTTACTATTATGGCTAACAATTAATATTATTATTAGTACTTCTATATAAAAAAAGATTACGTCATTTCAAATTAGATGAATTGAATATAGGGGGGGAGGGGGGAATAGATAAAACAAGGAACAAACTATCAGTAACAATAATATCAATATCTATTAACAACAACAACAGCAACAAGTGGAAATAGACAAAAAAACGATTAATCAATCAATCAGAGCAGTGTTCATAAACTATTGATCTAATTCTTTAAAAGAAAAAAAAAGGCGGGAAATAATTTTTATTTGTCTGAGTTACTTAACAAATACACTATATATGTAATATTGAAATTTATCACGGAAATGTAAAAGAAAGAAAGAAAAAATTCCACAAATTTCTTCATATGTGAAAGAAAGTAAAGAAGAAAGGACAAAATATCTAAATCACGCAGACACATACACACACTATAAAGATCTAGTTTTATAAGGGTATCTTACCATAAAAAGAATGAATCTATCTTAGTTTATGATTCTTGTTTTTAAAGCATAAGAACATAGAAAATAGACTAAATAAGATGGGATAAATCACAAATTAGACAAGTTTTTACCATGAACACTAACTATTTAATTTATTTCAATTTAAAAAAAAAGATATCAATATGGAATTAGAGTATGTTGGTTAGTCAAGACCAAATTGAATAGTCTATTATGTAATCATTGAAAAAGAGAAACAGAAGTGGAGAGAGAGAGAAAAGGGAACAATACAAAATAACAAAGGACATTAGTAACAACAAGTTCATAGAATTATCTACTAATAAATGAATAATTGATGACTTCTATTTATGACGTTAATATGATCCTCTTTAATAGTATAAAAGATCATATATATATATCACTATTTTAATTGTAATAATCATTAATATACTCTATTCATCATAAATGATAATAATTTATATATTGGATGGATTCTATGAATGAACTGAATACACAATAAACACAAGTGTGTGTGTGTGAGTGAGTGAACGAGAGAGAGAGAGAGGACGTGTTCACAAACAAACAACATGGCATCTATTATCCCAATTAAAACAAAAACACACTACAGTCTATGAGCATCAGATTACCACACAAAAAAAAATCCCAACAGACCATAAATCTAAACATGCATACACAGACACAAACACACACTTACACACGAACAAGTAGGAGAAGAGAGTAATTCATGCCAACAAAAAGAGAAAAACAACCGGCGAACAAATTGAAAGAGATGAATGGAATAGAAGAAAAACAAACAAAAAAATGAACCACAATCTTTCATAATTGTTCAATTAACAATGACAAATGATAATTAACAACAATTTACTTCCCTTTTTTTCTATAGTTTTTTTCTCCCTTTTTTCTCAATCTAATTCACACGCTTTCAAAAAAAAAACACACATCATTTTCTACAGAATCATAATTATTCATAGAAAAAACAAACAAACAAATCAATGTGAAATGTACAAAATCAACTTGATCGATACAAAGAAAAACAAACAAACAATAAAGAAGGAGGGGTTTGGGAAACAATTTTCCATGGAACAAAATCGAGAGAAGAAAAAAGAATGAGTGAGTGATAGAGAGAGGGCAAGTGACATATGTGAGTGTGTGTATGGCGACGATTAGGCAAGAACAACTTTTCACTTCAGTTTTCATTCAGAACTAATAAACAAACAAAATAACACAATAATAAATGTATCTAATTATGATAATTGTCATTACTACTAAAATACTACATCATAATACACACCTATTACACTACTGATTATCACTAATTAGCTAGTAGTAAGTAGTGTCCAAATAGCAGTAATGACAATATTGATGATGACTGTCAAAATACAACAATATTATGAAGAATTCCCCCCGAGAAAAAAAAACAACGAATAAATGAAATCACTGTAAGATAAGGCGCATTTCTCGCTAATAATCATATTACTGATTATGTAATATGTGCGTGTTTAAATTCTACTTTGCAAAACTTAGAGTAACGACGATCTCGACAATAATGATCAATGAAATGGTAATGATAAGAAGAAGAATACAAGGAAGAAGATGGTTTTCTCATTGACAAATTGATTGATGTATTTCAGAAAGAAAGTTAGAAACAAAGTAATATAATGAATGTTGTTTATTCAAATAAAGAGAAGAGAACAATGTGAAGTGAAAAAAATGAAATAGAATATGGGCAAACATCATCATCATCAAGTGATTCACTAGAAAACAGCACAGATACAAGTACACAAGCAAGTGCATAAGCACAAACACACACACATATACATGAGTGATGTAAGACACAAAACTGCGTAATATATCAAGTAATTTATATCAGGATTCCATAGTTTCAATACAGAAGATGCTAATATTTCCAAGAGGATATCATGCGAGTGCATGTGTGTATGTGTGAAAACAGTGAGATAGAGAGAAGTAGAGAATCAATTAATTGAAACTACAAATGTGCAGTACACAGAGAGAGAGATGACAAGAATGCATATATATATATAATATTTATATTTACTCATATATAATAGAGGGGTAGGGGATTTACTATAACTACAACTAATAATATGTTTCTTTTTCAAGCCATGACCCAGGCGGTAACCGTCGAAGTAGGAATTTCCTCACTTCATCATAGACAAATATCAGAAAACTGAATGGTAGACCTGGAAGCCACCATGTAAATCTGGAAAAGAAAATTTTGTTTCGGAAAAAAATCATCAATATACACGAAGAGATGAACAATTGAACATACATCAAATAATATACGTATAATATTCAGTCTTTCGAGTAGATACAAAAACTTTCCTAATAAGATTACTATTTAAGGAAGTGACCACAGTAAAGCCCCTCAAATATCACGGGAAAGAAGAAACTGATCTATTTGCTATACTGTCAACGATAGAGATTCAAAAACCGTTGGTATATTTATCCATCATTACACTAATAAAACTTGACATGGTGAAAAAATGAGTAAAAGACTTATCAGTGTTCATCACACTAATGAATGTAAATATACTGAAGTTGGACCACTTAGACTGTTGTTTGTGACGTTGTTGTTGATGTTGTCCAAAATCCTCATATTTGAATGAAGTTCGGCGAAATTATTGATAATAACAATGAAAATAATAAACGGAATAATTAACGTTTGGTTTGTATAGACAGCTGAATGTTAATGATCTTGATGAGGAATTTGTGTAGATTGTAGAATTCTCAAAGTTTAAATCACAAACTGGAGGGCCATCCGGTCTGTTTATAAGATTTCTGTTCAGTGTGCATTCAACATCCCTTGATCGGGAATCCAACTCACGAGCTTCGTTGTCGTGCATGAATGCCCAATATTTAGATTACTAGGCCAGTATATAGCGGTATTAATGTTTAACTTCAGACAATCCTTGATTTTGTGTAACCTTATTCATCGCCTGTTGTTTCACACTAAACATGACTGGACTCCAATGATCAAGGCATGAAACTAAAAGTCTTCGGTTCGATCCCAGGGTGCAGGGTTGTGAATGTACACTGAGCAGAAATCTCATAGTGGGATTAAATGGCCTTTCAGCTCGTCCACGTTCCCAATGATGGGCTAGCTAAGATCAGTTCATCATTTAAATCTTAGAAACCATAAGATTGACAATAATAACTGACTGAACACTATTGATGGTTTGAAGAACTGGAATTGTCTAGCTCTCTTTAAATGTACATATTTGAAATATTTTATAACTCAGAACACAGGTTATTGATGGAATACTTGATACTGACTTCTTAGTCGCTTTCTAGATTTCAAGACTACTACTACTACTACTATTACTCTCTACATTACAACTCCAAATAGAAGAGAAAAAAAACGAAGCATATAAAGAATAGAAACTTTACTTTAGTCTTAAATTTAACTTACCTCATTGGCATCATACGTAGACCTTTGTCTAAACCAGGACAATAAGATAAGAAAATAGCTAATGTTGTTTCAAAGAATAAACCAAATGTTAAATGATGATTCCACATTCCTTGTTGAAATATAGAATTACGACGTGTTTTACAAATCATTAAATCAGTCCATTGTACTATGACAATTGATGCAAAAAATGCTGTATGACATGTATATTCTAATCGTTTACGTTGATTATATGTCTATTAAAAAAGAATAAATAATGAAGAAAATTTTTTAATAAAAATATAGGGATTTGTGAAGATTGTAGTAATTTCATAGTTGATCTAAGCTAGATCATTAATGAAAATTTGAAAGCCGTAGACGCTCATTTCTTCTTAGTATAGGGATGGATTCCAAAGCAGTGTGCAGTATACGATAAAACGATCATCCAGTGCTTCCAGGTATTCACTGGTGACTTAGTTTAGATCAACTTGTAAATTCAACTATGAAAATATTACAAACTCCATAATAATTACGTGCTCATTAGTGACCAGCTTCAAAATGAAACTTATAAAGTTTTAGTGAGAAGCCTTGACCAATAGAATCTAATCATCATCAGAAAATGAATGAAGGGTTGTGCAAGATCATGGATTCATTTTTTAAAATTGATTAATCGAGTGGAAAAAAAGGTAATTTCGAATAGAATCACATAATATTGAATAAGGGAGAAGGCATTCAAAACGCTTCTTCACAAACAAGAGAATAATTCATAAAATTACTTCTCTTTACTTATTACAAACAAGTCTTATTTGTTGGTTTCTGCTTTATTCAATATTGAGCAAGTTGATTGTCCTTATAAGATTCAAACTGGCATTATGAAAGCTTCAAAATCTAAGTGAAGTCAGTCAGTTATTTACAACGTAGGACCAGGTACATATATGCATCGGTTTAAGTTGCCACACCTCATGTAATGAATCTAAGTGAAACATTACCGCTAGAGTTATTCAAGCATCATTTGATAAAATTATTGAGAATTAACACGATTTCCCAAATGTTGAATAACCCGACTGAAGCTGCTACCTTGACGCGGTGGTCGGGCTTGCCTATCGTGATGACCCAACCGAGCTATATTGGCTGGAACATATGTTCCTGTAGGTTCTACCATACCGGGCAGGTCGATTGGCCATTTGAAGAACGGAGCTAACACATTAAAAACCTTCCACGAAAAGGCCATGCGCGACCGGCCTAAAGCAGTTGTCCCTTGGGCTCTGCGGTCACGCTCCCAGGTCATTAAGACTAACACTAATTCGACTTCTTTTTCAGGTACGTACGAAGTTCTACGTTGTTACTGACTGACTGACTGAAATGTTAAATAATTCGGGTTGTAGTCTTAAAAGTAATAAGTTGTAATAAACAGAATGAATGTTAAAAGCTAGGAGTCAACTTAACAAACAACATGATAGCTTCAGTATAGGGTTATGGAGATTGTTGAGTTCCATTGAAATCATGAACCGATCAATGTTAAAACATCACTGAAAATTTGAAAGCACTGGAAGATCATTTCTTCCCAGTATGAGACTCCTCAGTAGTGCTGTTCCCGTCTCTGCCAACACAGATTGAACCCAGGACTTCTAGACCGTTGAGTCGGCATCTAACAGTGCTAAAGTCTAACTCAAACCAATTCACGAAACCTTGCGACCATCTCCTGTTGTCTTCACTAAGTAACTGCTTCACACTAGACACGGTTGACATCAACCTCCACAACTCTATACTGATTATGATTATGTAATCACCAATTAATATTTTCAAGAGATAGATTTCGAAATTCTGTAGTCAATAAATATTGTAATATAGACCGTATTTGTCAATCTCTATGTGATCAGAGTTTAACTGAATATGTGAAGTTAATACAAATAATAAGAAAAATCGCAAACAATACGATCAGAACGCAACATCAAAATATAAGTCATAAATCGCTGAAATTTTCTTTGTAGTTTAATTAAGCTTTCTTTTCTTTTTTAAAAAAAAGAGGAGAAAAACACAACCATTTACCCATTCTTGTCCATAAGAATCAGCTAAATCGTTAATAGCTTTGGAATCCCATTCACGTCGTATACCAAGTAGACGTGATGGCCAAAAACCATTTTCAGCCATAATAACAAAATAAACAAAGAAACCACCTGATGCTTGTATCATTCCAATTTGACCATAAGCCATTGAAATTAAACGTTCATTCACTAATTTATCATGTAATGGATCACGTGGCATACGTTTCATAATATCTGCTTCAGCCTCTTCATAAGCCAATGAAATTGCTGGAATCTATGAAACAATAAAAGAAATAGAATACTGATAAGTGGTAAACATACAATGAATAAAATATACCATTTATTTATCAATCAATCAGTTATGATCAATGTAGAATCTAGTACACAATTATGTGAATCAATTCAAGTTGTCACATTCTATCAAACATAGTGAAATGAAAATTATCCGGATAAACGACTTGGAAAGAGGCTAAAAGATTAAAGAAACAATTCATTTCCGAAATAAAAAAGTTTGCGATTATGGTGTGACTATAATTTATGAACAAACCAATTAGATTTAAGATAACAGATCTCGGATTTTGACGCGAAACTCATTCATCCATTTGTCTAAATAGAGTTTTGACATTATAGCTGATGTCAGTTCGTTATGAAAACCCTGTATCTGATTCCTAACCCTAACTATCAACTGTAAATATTAATCCTAATTCCTCACACAGGTTTATAATCCTCATTTAGCCATAGTATGTAGTGGGACATTTTCAAAATCTCTTTATCATCGCTCAAAGATCGTTCATAAATGATAGTCTCACCGCGATTATTTTTTAAACTCAAGGGAAGACAAATGATGAAAGCATTTGCATCATGATAACCGAATCTAAGTCGTTTTACTCAACATTTCTAACCACTGATCATGAGAATTACACGGACACCGAACCATAAAACTTGATTTAACAGTCAATAAATTTGTATTAAATTAGTTGCTTTTTATCAAACTACTCCCATACACTAATAAGTATTGTGATCAAGACTCATTAAACCATCAGTCTATTTGATAATTTATCCGTGAAACCTTGAGTTTAACTTAACAGTATTGCTCACTCTATATAATCTGACCTATTTCTAATACAATACAATTTCATTATTTAATACTTTAAATACATGTAATGCATTAATTCTATTCTATTCATTATTGCTCATTTGTTCTCAACTATAATCGAGTATGAATCCACGGTCCCGCACCCCGCTGGATTTGAACCCAGGACCGACTGGCTTCGCGCGCGAGCACTTAACCATTAGACCACTGGGTCGGCACCCAACGGTGTTAATGTCTAACTTTAACCAATCCACGAAGTTGCGCCACCATATACCATTGTCTTCAGTGAGGTGATATCTCACAACAGACCTGGTTGAACTCCACTGGTAACGGCTTCCCACTGAGAACTCCAGGAGTATCTCTTCAAGTCACTGAGGAGTCCCATACTAGGACGAAACGGCTGTCCAGTGCTTCCAGGTTTTCAATGGTGGTTTAGCTTCAACTGACTCATGATTTAAATCTGTGAAAATTTCTAAAATCTCCACAAACCCCTTCTGATTATAATCGAGTATGACAATAATTCCAATCAAAATGAAGCGAATAAATAAATTTCGACCTAGTTCATTTGTCTAGAAAACAAGATAAACAACAACCTATAAGAAAGAAATAATCGTTGAAAAAAAACAACAAACAAACAAACAAAAAAGAACAATTTTCAGTCAGGTAACATAAGCATGAAATGATCATATATATGTGACAATGATATACATGATCAATAAACATAATCATGAATTTTGAACTAATGACCTGAAAAGTATTGTGAACACAAACAACAACAACCACTATGATAATGATTTATAATGAGTGTTTTTTTATCACGGTATTTTACTATTATGAATGATGATTAAAAGAAGATAAATCGGTCATAGAAAAGTTCACGCCAAACATACAAATAATTGTATACTCGAATACACGTCTTATTTAATGATTTATTTATTTAAACATATAAATATTAGTAAAAGGTGTCACCAAACAGATATGAACCATATAAATCATTCGATTTATGTGAGAATTGGAATATTATCCGGGTGGCCAAACCGAAACAGGTAGTTTTCTAAGGGGGATCACACCCCGATTCTTTAACTTGACCGTCTAATCCACAAGACAGTGGAGCAATGTTAGGAGATGCACTTCCATGGTAGCTGGTGGATCAACAACTGGTTCATATGCCATTTGTATTCTTAGGATCCTGAAGCCCATGTGCACCACTGGTTTGCAATCAGGGTTGTCCAAGTCTCCTAAGTGGATCATATATATCCACCAACCCGATTAAAGCGTCGGACATTCACTTTCCGTACTCTTAATTTCATAAACAACACTAGTAGTGCGAAAAAGCAATGAGTAGGACTTCCCTGGCAGTGGTTGTATGCATACGGATACTTCAAAGCATTTCCAGAGGGAGAGAGCTGACTCTCCCCACTCTCGGCCGTACCAAGGTTCTGAGGGGCTCGAATACACGTCATACAATAAGATGGTAAATCATTTTTATCAAGAGAAAAATTAAATGTTTTTTAAAGGTAAAATATAATAATAATTAACTAACAAGTCTAGAAACACATGACATTCGAGTTTTAGTGTAAACATCACTGTGATAGAAGTACACCTTTCTGATGAGTCCTAAATGGGACGAAACATGTATCTTAAATTCAATTGTTAGCCACTATTAGAACTGGATTCAAAACAATTAAAACCAAATGGGATTAACGAGGCGATCCGCACAGCAAGAAACAAGTCAATCGCTGTCTTCAACATTTTCCATGGAAAAATTCAATTGACCTTTACAGAACTAATAAAAACTGAATCAATTAAGAGACGAATATACTGTGCGGTTGTTCATTCTGTTCTACTTTATGGTTGTGAAATGTGACCATTAAAATTAGAAGATACTCGTAAGATACTAGTATTTGACCATAGATGTCTTAGAAATATTTCTGGCATCTGCTGGGATCATCGCGTAAGTAATAGTGTGGTTAGAAGTAGGGTATTAAGGAATGATGGTAAATCAGTTGATGAGGTTGTGAATCCTCATCGACTCGGATGGTTAGGCCACGTGTTACGTATGCCTGAACTCCGACTAACAAGACGCGCAATGCTGACTAGTATTGCGGATGGGTGAAAGAAAGTTAGTGGCGGCCAAACCAAAACGTGGCATCAGTGCTTGAAGTCACTAACTTGTACTCTTAGCCATGTTGGTAGATACAGACTGCTTGGTTGTGGTCCGTGTGACTATCGTAATCAATGGTTGGTGTCTCTGAGTGCTATAACTCAGAATCGATTACAGTGGCCTAGGTGTATACACTCTTTGTCTTCCCTTAAACCGTGAGATTAAAATTGCTTTATATCTTTCTTTCTACGAACTAATTCTTTCTTCCTGTGCTATATCCTTATATGCGATCTTTCTCTTATATATTACCACCATCGAATCAACTACTTCTATGAATCCGGTGTTCATCTTGTAGTGCTAATGAGGTATGGCAACTTGGACCGATGCACGTATGTTCCTGGTGTTACGTTGTAGCTGACTGACTGACTGAATATTGTCTAGAAAACAGTCAATCACAGGGAATATAATTAAGACAGGTTGATTTAATGTTTGTAGATTAATTAAATAGCTTAGTTATACTCTCAATAAACGATGATGATATTTGTGTCAAGAAGGACAGTGAATATTTTGAAGGTGAGAGAAAACAACATAATTAAAATTGTATGTTATTCATTATTGATTCATGAAAAATTCGACGTTTATTCAAGTTTCGTTTACTCTTTATCAGTATACTAGATAATATAAACATCAAATGATTGAAATAAACTTAGAATAGAATAAATAAACAAGATATATTAGTCAGTTATAATTAGTATGTGGGACATCAAAAGTCACTATAGTACAACGACGAAATGAGATAACATAGTCGCGAACAAAGACGGTGGATACGGAGGATCCACTTCCTAGGGAATTTGGAAAATATGAAGTAACAAAATCTTAAGGAAATAAATAGCGTATGCGATGATGTGTATGTAATGATAAAAATTTGTCGACGATCGATATTTAAAACTTTAAGATCTTAAAGAAAGATAACAAAAGGAATGTGAATCTACGTAGTAAGTAGAATGAAAAATTTAATGTGGAGAATAATTAATATTTTTTCCGGTATTCAGATTGACGATAACAAGTAAACTTAAATATATGTTATGATAATGTACATAAATGTACTAATCACAATGGGAGATTTCCTGTTTACAAACTTCAATAACAAACAATCAACTCTTAACATTTCAAAGATAGAGAGAGTGTGTGTGTGAGAGAGAGAGAGAGAGGGCGCACGAGGAGAACAGACACAACCATTATGACACTTGTTTTCGTGATATCAAAGAATCAGTAAATCAAAAAGAAAAACTATTATTCTTTCTATTATTATCATTGGTAATACAAATTTTATCATAGTGAATTCATTTTGACAGTGAAATGGTACTTTTGCATCAGGATATTGATTTAACATGTCAACATATGGGATATGAATAAAATGGTAGAATAAAAATGCATAAAGATGTTAAACATGAGATTGGTGTAACGAATGAACTAGAAAAAAAACGTTTTAATGGTTCAATTGCACTAAATCTGAATAGAATGCTACTTATAAAATTGCTTATAAGTAGTCTGTAGAGGGACGTCATGTGGAGGTTGCCACAGTCGACAGTTGGGAAGAAAAGTTTCAGTCGGTTAAAAAGCAAAGCGTATGCAGGATACTTTGAAGAGCGGAGGAGAAGGCAGCCTATAAGCAACTTAGATTGCAGAATACACAACAAGATATAAATAGATATCACCTCAACTACTTAACAGCACTTACTACTTGCTATAAATATAAGAAAACTCGAGTAGCTAAGTACAGAGTAATTCGTTTATTTCGAATAAGAGGTATATATTTAAAGTGAGAGACTAATGAAACCCATAGGATCCAAGCTGGACAGCAAATGCCAGATACATGTTCCGAAAAGCAAAATACTCTACACACTCAGGGAGTTGCTCTGATGCTGTCCAAAGAAGCACGAAATGCACTTATAAGGTGGGAATCTCACGAATCTAGGATCATCAAAGCATTCTTCAAAAACAAAGAAAGAGGGAATCACGATGAATGTTATTTAAAGTTATGCGCCCACTACCCTTAGCAACGATGACAATAAGGATAAGTTCTATGAAAGGCTGCAATCAATCAAAGCGAAGTGTCCAAGAAAGGGCCTCACCATTCTGATAGGAGATCTAAACGTGAACATCGGATACGAAGATATCATGGGATGACATGGGCTGGGAGAGAGAAACGAAAATAAGGATGGATTTTTAAACCCATATGCATTCAACAGATTGGTTTTAGGAGGCACGATATTCCCACACAAACGTATACACAAAGCTACATGGTTATCATCGGACCACACTACGGAGAACCAGATAGATCATATTTGCATCACTATAAATTTACAAGATCAATGGAAGAGGTGAGAACCAGGAGAGGAGCTAACATAGCTCTAGATCACTACCTAATTGTGACCAAAATGAAACTGAAGTTAACGAAGCATGGAACGCGTGGAGAAACATACTGACAAACTTGACAAATTCAAGAAGACACTCAACAACAAGTTCTAAACCTTATTGGATCTACTGAAAGAAGAAATTACTCTCGCATATTAGGTAACAATTATATACTGTTATACTATTTAGTTTATTAAATCGATTCACATAGAGTTGCCATGACATTAATATTTTCCATGGATATTAAAAAATAAGTTTATCTTGGATGGTGGATAGAAATATGGTTACAACAATCAGTTGAGTGACATAAACGACGATATCTTATAAAAGTGATTAAATATTTAATTATTCTCCATATAAAGTATCTAAACAGGAAAGCATACTTGTTCATTTAAATAAACAAACATCCGATATACATAATGCAGTACGCTTTAGTTACTTTAACCTATAAACAATAATTAGTATTATAATCATGTATAATTAAAATATTCAACAAAATCTTATCATAAATTATTATATATTAGTTTAATAAAATACAGCTAAATGGAATAATGTGTTGAATAGCTCTCTTTGAAGAAATACATTACACTTACCATATCAGTACCTAAATCAATGCATAGAATTGTAATTGTACCCAACGGTAATGGGATATCAGCTAAAATATACACTAGAAATGGTGTAATCTCTGGTATATTTGATGTTAATGTATAAGCGATGGATTTTTTTAAATTATCAAATATAATACGACCTTCTTCAACTCCTGTAACAATTGAAGCAAAATTATCATCTAATAAGATCATATCAGCTGCTTGTTTACTCACATCACTACCGGCTATACCCATTGCAACACCTTGTGTAATAAAAAAAAAGAGTAAAATTAACAAATTATAATAAGTAGAGGAAGAGTGAAATAATTAATTAAACAAATTTATATTGTTATAATTGAGATCGTGAACCGATCAATATTAGATCACCATTTAAAACCTGGAAGCATTGGACGGCCGTTTCGTCGTGAAGGCGCACTGTTGAAGAATCCCATACTAGGACGAAACGGTCGTCCAGTGGTCCCAGGTTTTAAATGATGGTTTAACAATGATCAATTCATGATCTCAATTAAAATTGAGCAACCTTGGACTGACAGAACAATGATAATACTAAAAATTATATGATGAAATGTTTACAAAGGAAACTAACTTTAACAATGATTACTTAGTATTTATACATAAGTGAATATTCAAGTTGATCCAGATCTTAGAAATGATTACTTTCAGCAACATACTACAGCCTTCTTATTATGAAAGAAACCCTTTTGTTTGTCGTCTGTAAAAAGTTTCTATCATTTAAAATTCTTCAAAATGTTGTCTGGCAACTCAACTAGTCAAGATAAAATTAATCTCGGAAATCAGCATAGGTTTTATGTGGAATATATCTTATCTCAGAGATCACTGACTGATATCAATGAAATGTAGACAAGTACACAAATGGATTCCACTAAGAAGATATCGAAGTTCTAAATCGTAGGGATTATAAAAATGCCAAAAAATTCTGAAAGTGTTGTATTCAGATCAATCTGTGTTTACTGCGTACGTCAATTAAGACCTAACCTACTAGTTCAAAGGTTAAAAAAACAGAACTGTCAACGTGAACACAAGGACTACTGAAGATAATGAAATCTTTGAGGAAAACCAACTACAATCAAGGCCACCAAGGTAAACTAACTTAAGACTCGTGGAATGACTATAATGCTTACATCTATATGAAGAGATCGCTGGTAACGCTGTTCACAACGACAATGAAGACTTCACAATTAAACCGTTTAACTCTGAGAAATCAACAACAAGAACACCCGCCTAGGCTGCAAATCTTCTCCATCACTTAAAAGTTATGTAATATTTATAATATCAATTTAGGCCATAGAAATATGGTGATGATGAAATAAAAAATATACAGAGATACATCTATTAAAGTTGGTTACTGTGGCTAGCAGCGGAATTCAAAAAGCAGGTTTCATCATATTTAAGACTTATAAGTTCGACGTACATGCATTCCAGTGTTGACGTTCACACAGAGACTCGAACTCAGTCGTCTTCACTTCAAAATTCTAACACGACTATATGAAGCTTTGTAGATAGATACAAATAGATTGAAAATAAGCAGAAGCTCGTAGAGCGGTGTTTAGGCAATTACCACAATCATCGTTTAATAAGTCAGTTGAAGTGTAAGGTACTGTGTTCGAATCTCGAAGTGAAATTGAGCTCTGGGATGCAAGTACATACAGCAAAATAATCCTAAATAGGACGATACGATGCGTTTCTTTATGATTATTACCACTATTAATTATTGTTATTGAAAAGTGATATAATTTGGAGTTATTTTCGACAAACTTGACAATTTATCATGCTAGATATGAAAAAATTGTTACATTCAAATCAAACTATATCTGTTGTCCAATTAACAACTTCAAGAAATCAATAAGGACTATTTCCCCATAATTATTTCTGATACCGTTGATACTGTTACCACCTTTACTATCCTGGGATTCAGCCTAATAATTTTATCTCTATATGTTCATTGGATACAACAACTATGACCGATGTACATACGTACCATCTTCTACGTTGTGATTCACTCCATAGTGATGGAAAACGAATTTTTCTTACGAATTGTTGTGAAGATTTGAAAAAAATGTTGACTGGCCTATTTCATCGTTGACATTAGAGAAGTTAACTATCAATCTCCAAATGGAACTAGTATACCATACATTCAAGCTAACGTCAGTAACACTTGGATAAACATTTTAAACATTCAATATTGAAAAGTCCCTTACTAGGAGGTAAAGTCCGTCAAGTAATTTAAGGTTTTAGATCGATTCATGAATTCCAACTGTGAGTCCTAATTATCATTGACAGAGATTAAATGATATGTTAGAGAGGCATTTACCTAATCCACCTCTAGATAATCTCAGCTAACGACAGCATTATTAATGAAAAAACTATATATACATATATACATACCAATATCAGCTTGTTTTAAGGCTGGACTATCATTTACACCATCACCGGTTACAGCAACAATTGCACCTTGTCGTTGACAACCTTCTACTATAATTAATTTTTGTTGTGGACTAGTACGTGCAAATACAATTTCTGAATGATTTAATAAAATTTCATCAATTTGTGCTGGAGTCATTTCACGTAAATCAGAACCATGTATTACACATGCTTGTGCATCACGTGGATTGACCTATAATAAATGATAATAATAGAAAAGTATTCATCATAAGACGTAATTATGAACGTGGATTAAAAGAAGAAAAAGTGTTAATGAAGTATGAAAAACAAACAAACAAACAAATTAGAATCGTTCAGCTGAAATAACTTGACCTAAACATACATAAATTAACTTGTATATTGAACGAATTGTAAAAAGTGAAAAACAAACAAACAACCCAAGTGACTAATTTATATAAACAATGAGATAATCATCATGAATTGATCTTGTATGGAACTAGTTCTCAGCAGTGCATATTTATAACTTTGTCAGTAATCGAATTCAAAACTATCAGGTTTTGGCAACGGTGGTTTAACCAATTATGGAAAGGTGGTAGATGAATAATGCTGTGTCCAAGAGTACCTAATGGTTTTCATTGGTAACCTAGCTGAAATCAAGCTGTGACGAACACCCTCTACAGATTAAAATAATCTCTATAAAAAACTGTCTCATTTAAATTATGTACTTAACAAATTTTCGAATAAGTGAACAAGATACATATAGAGGCTCGGTATAATTCACTAACTCAATAGTTCAGACAGAGAACCATTGCCTGGACGGAGTTAATTTCAAGCCAGGTTAATAGTATTAGTAATAAAAGGGTGATTTTTGAGTAATGTATTAGATTGCTAATAATTAATAAATTACTGTTTAAAATGCCATTTTTACTCAGTGGTTGAACATATTTTGTAGTCAATGGAATATATTCTTTTGTGTGAGGCTCAGGATGGAGAATGCTGGTCGGCGGCATATGCTCCATTGGAAGTAACAGGGGTAAGTAAGTAAATAGGTAAGAGGCTCGGGATGTACATTTCTGTGCACATTGCTTGAGTATAACCGTTTTATCGCAAATTTTATTAAAGAGATGGATTGTGGCTAGTGGTTGAATTCAGAATTATTGTTCCGCGCTATTTAGGACTCGTCATTAAATATACCTGCATCAATTCTGTGTTGCAGGTATATCCAACTGAAGTCTCAAATAGGACGAAATATAAGCTCCGGATTCCACTGTTAACCACTATCCATCTATTTTACATATATTAATTATCTATTGGTTATTTTAAAAGATAAGAATTTTTCTTATCAATATTACCTGACGAACTGGAATACCTCGTTCAGCGGCAATATCTTCGACAGTTTTAGAACTTTCTGAAATTATCCCCACACCTTTAGCAATAGCTTTCGCTGTGATTGGATGATCACCAGTGACCATAATTACTTTAATCCCAGCTGAACGACATTTAGCAACTGCATCTGGTACTGCTGCACGAGGTGGATCAATCATAGACATTAAACCAACAAAACGTAAATTGGTTAAAGGAAAATTCGGTTCATCTACATTGAAAGCATAACCTCTGAAAAGATAAATAACAGAACGATAAGATGTATTAAGATAGTAGTGAGGACAACAATTAACAGAACTAATAGTGTCTATTGAAAACCATATGAATATTGGGTATGATTAACAATTTTATCATTCAGTAAGTACTAAACAAACCAAATTAACTTCAACAAAACAAGATAAATAGTAGAGAAACATTTTGCTGTATATCGGAATTTATGGGAGAGAATTATTTTACTTATAAAAAAAGAAAATATATCTTGTTTTGAATGGAACAAGGATGATAATTATGTTTTGAAAATTGATTTCGATCGATTGGTCAGTCAGTTATTATCAATGTCCGTTATGTCCGTTATCTAGAATTCCAAAATTATGAGTTTTCGAAACGAGGTTGAAATCGTGATAGTGTGATGTGTGTTACTGATGTCGACAAATAATAAGTAGTATCGAAATGCCTGGCGGCAGAAAGTTGAGAAAATCGTAGAGAAGAAAACGAGAACGGAGAGTAGGTGGTTTTGAAATGAAGGAACGATCAAGTATAAGACAATTGATTGACATTTTGCAAATGAAGTATTTGCTGTATGGTTCTCAGATTTTACTAAGATATTCTGTAATTTTGTATTAAAATACACTTAGTTGTCCCCATTGATTAAGTATAATTCAGCCAACCAAGTAGTTTTCGTATATCTAAACGACTCAAGTGAACAATTAATGATTTCCAGGATTGATGATTTATTCTAGTTTGGCCATCCTTAGCTTTCTTCCAGTCGACCATTACTTTAGCCAACACACTGAATGCAGGTGGTGCGTAAGCAATATATACTTTGTTTAAATGATTTACGTTCAATCTCAAAATTTCTCACCTAGATGCAATGCTCCAAATATACGTATGATTAAAAACATGTAGCCTACGCATATCACTTAATTTCATGGACGATATTTCACAGCCTTGAGTTATATAGAGAGTACTGATTCACAGCATAGTCACCGTTCAGCGTCTGAAACGCAAACATCGTCAAATATACATTTCCTGTCTAACTTTATCCCATAATTATTCCACAGAAGTTTTCAGTACTATTCCAAACCAGCCTTGATATATTTCCAAGTGTAAGATGTTATCAAAATCAACAAATAATCTTATTTAGATCACTAAAGAAAAGCTGGAAGCACTGGATGACCGTTTTGTCTTGCTATGTAAATCCTCAGAAGCGCATGTTCACGACACTCCATCTTAGGTACCGTCCAGTGTTTTCACGTTTTCTACAGTGATATGAATAAGATCTATTGATGATTTATATCCTATGAAAATTCTATAATCTTCAAAAAACCCTATATTGATTTTTTTTTAAATCCACAATAAATATTTAACATTTTACTTCTTATAAGTATCCGATGGTAGACGATAATCACAAAATCCTAGAACTCTTTCACCCATTCCACCAAGTTCTAAATAAGCACTATTGAAACTTTCACGCATTGATTCATCCATAACTTCTTCTTTACCATTAATTAAAATAGTTCCACAACGATCAAGTATACGTTCAGGTGCACCTTTCATAACTAATAAGTAACGATCATCACCATCATTGGTTTCATGGATTGATAACTAGATAGAGAAAATAATAAAAAAAAGTTAAGTTAATTTTGAATAACTTAAATCGCAGATTGGTAAAAATTCGACAGATATTAAAGTACTGGATGGCCATTTCGTTTTAGTAAGGGATTCAACAGTGCAAATCCACAAGCCTACAACCAGGAATCAGATTCAATCCTCTGCCTGTACAAATTCTCAAAGGTTTTTCTCTAACTGAACCGCATTTACGCACCCAAAACACACATGAATTCACTTGTCTACCTAGCAAATGTGATTTGTACGTCCTTAGCTGGAATTGAGGATGGCTATGTGGCGTCGAGAGGTAATGATAGGCAAGAATTGACTAGGAATTAAAGACCCAGAACAATCGAATCTCACAGAATCTACCTACTCATTAGATCATTAGGGTGAGATCTAATAGCTTATGTGCTTGACCTAAATTAACCCGTAATATTACATAATTATCTTTCGATAAGATTAGCTGGCAACTAACTGCCTTTCAGTCAATACGCAAACTAAGCAGAAATTTACAAGCCATATTTACGTTGAAATTTTATGTTACACATAGTATGTAGAGTAACGTGAATAAAAAAGTAGCAACGTACACATCTGTCTCTCTCTTATTTTTACCATACTGTATGCAGCTGAGGTCTACAACAAGCCCTTCTAAAAAAACATGATCTATAGTAACTTGTGAGTTACAGCACGGTGATTTACTTGTTTCTAGATTTAAATGACAATATTTTCAACGTGTATTTGATTACCAAATAGTGACCGATGTCATGTTTAACTAATATTTGAGTGCTAAACAAACTATCGATCACTAGTACAAGTGATTTGACTAAGTTGAAATGTTAAACATTAGAGATTTTAAGAATCTTAGACTAAGGAGATGGATGACGAGGTTTCAGATCCAACAGAAAGCGTCAATTCACTCAAGATTCTACGTAAATCTTACTGATAGAATGCCAACTAGCAGGAAAACTAGATCCATTGATTTCTGCACAACACTTAAAATTAGTGAATTACATTTTCTGCCGTTATATAGTAGGGACAATACAATAAAATTGCTAATTAACAATATTTAATTGAATGCTGTTTTGATGAAGATAAACCTGAAAACTAGTCAATCAATAAGTTAACAGACTATACCTGATATTTATTTGTAGAATTGAATGGAATCTCAGCAACTTTTGGATTTTTACGACGATAATCTGTAACACCACCAAATGATAATTCAACACATTTTAACAAAGCTGATTCCGATGCATCTCCATTACATTCACGTTTTAATACTGGCTTGTTTTCTTCACCTGCTTTAAATTCAGCACGATTGCATAACATGCCAATACGAGCTAATGCTATCCAAGTTGGTGAATTTTTATCGTAAGTGGCAACTACAATAATAATTAAGATTGGTAGACAGTAAAAAAAATTTGGAAATATCTGGTCAGTAATGAAAGATTTGTGTGAATTTTCGGATTCACAAAGTTTAAATCATGAACTAATCTCAGCTAGATCACCGTTGAAAACCTGAAAACGCTAAACGGTCATTTCGTTTTGGTATAGGAGTTCCTAAATGGTTAAGCGTTGGTACGCAAGATTGAAGGTCCCGGGTTCGGTTCCTATTTGTGGAGGAGCACAACTGGGAAGTCCCATGATATGAAGAAAAGGCCCTTCAGTGTTTCCAGGTTTTTAATGGTGGTATAACAAAGAACACTTAGTGATTTTAACTAAAAAAGTATTACAAACACTTATTTAGTGAAATAAATCAGAATGTAGGGATAATAAAGAGAAAATCGAGAGAGTACAACGTAATTATAATCATAATAATAATATGGTTAGTTAGGGGTATGTTTATGGAGATAAGTTTAACTTGTAGGATATATTCGTCACATTTTAATTGTCGGTTAGGGTAATGTTGAAAACTGAATTTTTATTTCACCATGGTTTTAACCCAAGATTTGTAATGGCTGAACTCCAGAAGAGAGACCTGGAGATCCCAGGTTCTACCATTTCATAACCTGAAACCGATATTGGCGATTTGAATGATCTAAAATGGCTAAATAGTGACGGTTATCTCGTTGGTCTGACTACCAGAGAGAAAAATTAATGACAAAATACCACAGAAAGTCAATCAGATGAATGGTTTTAGAGCGAAATCAAAAGAATAATTTTGAATTAAATTTCACACAATCGTCATTGTAGGTGGCGCAACTAAGCCTTTTTAGAAAAGTACGTAAAACCTGAATTTCCATAAATGATGGAAGATGGAAGGAAAAAGTCTAACGTCCTAGGGCGAAATTATACTGCTGGCTGTACTTGGGTGTGATGGTAGTAACATATCTCCTCCGAATAACCAGCATCCGTAGCAACGGAAGGATCGGGTTAGAAGATGTCGAGTTCAAAAACGACACACATCACTTTACCATACTGGTTCTTGTCTCCGGGACTAAAACTTTTAAAGCATGTTTATGTATATGACCGGCCTCAAGTAGTTCCGGTTTGATTATAGACGTCGTACTCTTAGAAATTCATGACCACTCAACACAGTCTTCTTTTCAGGTACTTTAGTCAGTATCATATTTCACAATGTGGGGAACTGGGAGTTGTAAACTGCCCTATTACCTCGAATCGCACGCGAGATCATCTCGATCTTAAAAATACTATTTCAATATTGCGTTGCCTTTGGGCTGACGATTCTTAAAGTAGACAAAGTCCGCGTACTGTATTGCAATATTATCTATAGATTTAACCACTAAAACATGTAACTAAAGCAATCTGCTCAGGGTGCTAATACATCACAGTACAAATTGATCAATTACAATCCAACAATATTAACAACGTCAAAGTTTAATCTTTTACAATATAAAATAAATGATAGATTTAATAACAAAATGAAGTGAAATAGCCATAAAATCATAGTGCAAAAGAAAAAAAAAAACATGTACTATCCTACCTGATTGGTCATCTGTAGTATCCGCATCAAATATTTTATTGTCAAACCACATATGAGCTATAGTCATACGATTTTGTGTTAATGTACCAGTTTTATCTGAACAAATGGTACTTGTTGAACCAAGTGTTTCAACAGCTTCTAAATTTTTCACTAAACAATTTTTACTAGCCATACGTTTAGCGGTTAATGTTAAACATACCTATAAAAAACAACAACAACAATAACAACGTGAGAATGAAAGTAAATGATGGTAAGATAACACTGGTATTAAAAAAACAGATGTGAATCTCTAGATAGTCTTCATCATTGATTGATATTGGTTAAGTTGTCAATGCAAATCAGAAAACCATGAACAGTTGTCTCGTCCTAGTATGAATACCTCAGTAGTGTAAACTTAAAATTACATCAGAAACTGAATAAATGATATTCCTATCTCTAGGTGAATGGTTCATTATTGGGAAAATTACTGGATCAGTGTCGTAAGATACAATTTCAACTTAAATCAATTCTGAATATAGTACAAAGATCATTTAATTTTATTGTTAACAGTTGTTTTAATTTCCAACAAAGTTTGAATTTGACCAGTCACAAATTTTTACTTTTAATTATAGAACATTATTGTTATTATTAATAGCGGTAAATCATCATATAGTCTTATTCAATGGTTTGATATGTTTGTTACACAAGAGAATTATACAGTGATAGAAACAGGAGTGATTGTCGTAATCGAAATTAATTTGATCATAGAATGATTTAAAATATTCTTCTCTACACAGTATGCTATGCACGAATTCAAAGTTCTGAAAATTGATTTCTTTTTATCATGAATTGATTGACATAATACATGTTCAGTAATAAGTAAATAGATTTCGGAATAATGTCAAAAGTTGTAATATAAAATCGTGTCATTTTTACTGAATTTATCCATGTCATCATTTATGATAGAAATAAATAATCATGCAGAAATTAAATGTCAACTTAATGATCAACTGAATTTATTCGATCATTATGGGATCTTAAAGTCCCGAGTTTGATCTAGAAAGAGAAAGAGAGTCATGGATGCTTAGGGTTGGTTGTTAAACTTTGAACAAAAGAGCTACTAAGTCATCTATGTCACCTATTTGAACGATACTTGGCGAGATATAAAACTAATTCTGAGATGATAGAGAAGATTTGTAGCTCAGGTGGATAATTTCGGTGGAGTTTTGTTCTCTATCCTGCTCAGAGAACAAAATTTCATCAAAATTAGACCAATTCATACAAAATCTCTTGATTGATTTCATTCAGTGTAGTATCAAAAAATCTAAGGGTATTGAAAAGAAATTTAGTCCTTGTATGAAACTGCTTAGCTGTATTCATCCACAACCGTATCAGAGATAAAGATTAGGACATAAAGTGTTGAATTTGATTCACAGAGGGCCAGATGTTGATTGACAGGCTTCGTACTTGGAAAAAAACGCTACCCGGAGTACTTAATGGTGTTTTTCAATGAGATGAAAACCCCCTTTATGTATTCAAGAAAATCTCATCAGGAAGAAATATACTTTATGAATAAATTGACTAAGGATTGACTGAGAATTTATCACAATTGCTTTAACCGCATCAATATACAGAGATGATAAAGAAAGAATCAATTAATATAATAATTGTCTAATCATCTATGATATAACAGTTATATACATTCGGATATCTGATTATTTCTTCCTTTCTGGTTGAGAATACCCAATGCCAGACTTTGTGTTGGTTAGCACACTTGTCAAAAAAGCCTATTTGAGATCATGGACAAACTGAACTGTTTTCAATTGAGATCCTGATAGACTTCACAAATCTAGAAATATTATGTGGCTTTTTGATAGCTGAACAACTCACGTGCTGTTTTAAGGTCAAACGAATAGGTGGAAAATTATTTTAAAAAAGGTACGCTATAGAAGAAAGTCGATTGTAGGCCTAATCAAGACCGAAGTCTACATGCCATTATATGCGTCAGAAGGACAAATGTATAAGTACTAGTGATTTGTGCGTACATGATTGTTCGTTTAATCAATCAAAGATTCCTAGTCATTTCCAAAATCTTTTCATTTGCATCGCTAGTTGGGTAAGGGTAACAGGAAGTGTGAAGATCTGGATTGGATATCGTGGATCATAACATAATAGAAATCAGAGAATCTATCACTCTTCTATTCCAACAGCAACTGACAACCTGTAGCATATAAACTTTTGTACTTATAGGTTATTTAAACAAACGAGACTTATGTGGAAATTATTCTGATGACAGGAGTGTTTGGAACTAACCAGCAAGGAAGACATAGACTTAAATCACATACACCAGTAACAACATGGAAACTTGATCGATAGACTCATACCACCACCCAGAAGTATATAAGCATAATATAAATTACTACTTAGTAATCAATAAGTTTACAGTACATTAATTTGTAAAAAACTCATTGAAAGAAATAAATGTAGAAAGAGTGATCTCATTTGAAATTTCTTTTAGGATCCAATCTGCGGAATAGATTATACAGAGAAAAACGTTCACATTGAAAATAGACTTTCAAGTAAGATAATTCAGTTGATAATATTATGAATAAACAGAATTAGATGGCTGAAACGTGACAGCGAATTGTCGAAGTCTAGTTTACTTATAACGAAATGGAGACTTTAGGAACTCAATTATGAGCTTCACTTTTGGGTATGACAGTGTAGTGATATTAACACTGACTGGAAAACAAGGTAAATTTGAACTGAATAGGGCTTCAGTCAGAGGTTAAATCATTGAAAACAGAATATACTGACCATTCAAACAAAAACAAACGACCAAACAAAGCACGATTTATGACCGACTAAATCCCATTAAAACTGGTTGATTACTGAATAGTAAGGAAGTCGGTATTGATAAAATCTTAGACTGTGAAGTTTGGTAACACCAGATCGAATCCGTCAGAGAGGATCAGTCCCTCCAAGATTACAGTTAAACCTCGCTGATGATTGCCAAATAGCATCAAACGAAAAACAAGCAGGATGTTTTGTAGACTACCTCTAACCACTACCTTACAGCTACATTCTATTAGTAGTGTCAAGTGATTCAACATCAAATATTTATATCGCAGAACTGTCGTAAATATTTACAAACCAATCATCTCGGACAGTAGAATAAAAATATGGAACAGTATTTATTCCAGTCAACAGATAGCGATTCCAGTTATTTATTGTCTAGCACGGGGGATTTGTTGAGATTGTAGTACTATCATAGTGGCGAGACTATAATTTATAGACGAAACAATCAGATTTAGGACAACAGGTCTTAGATTTTGGCGCAAAATTCATTCATCTATTTGGCTAAATAGTCTTGGCATTATAGCTAATTTCAGTTCATGATGAAAACCCTAAATCTAATACCTAATCATAATCATTAATTGTAAATCACAATCTTTATTCTTCGAACTGCTTTATAACCCTTATTTAGCCCTAGTAAGTAAGTAGACACTCTCAAGGTCACCTCAGCGTCTCTCAAAAGTCGTCCATAAACTATAGTCTCACCGTCATAGATGAAATTACGAGCCACCGAAAACTTGGAATTACTAGGACGAGACGGATGTCCAGTACTTTCAGGTTTTCAATAATGCTCTAGATTAGATAGCCTCGGGATTTCAATTGTGAAAGTGTTTATTACATGTTTCCTTTGAATAATGACTATCTTATCACTGTCTCACTATATTTACCTAAATTTACACTTTAACTACTTGTGTTGAAGTAATCAAGAAATGTTGCTAATGGTGTTATGTTCTTTGAATTGTTGAAATCTCAATACGTTTGTAGATAACTTCAACGCCAGTTCAAGTTTAAGCGGAAGGGGGCAATTGGAATATAAGACATGATACACATAGAATCATTCATGACAAATCATTACCGATAAAGAAAACAGTATAACAAAAAACTTGTCAGTCAGTCAGCTACAACGTAGGACCAGGCACATATGTGCATCGGTCCAGGTTGCCATACCTCATTAGCACAGCAAGATGAACACCGGATTCATAGGAGTGGTTAAGTCAAAGGTGTTAATATGTGATTATGGAAACTGTTTTGTTATTGTTTTTTTTGTCTTTATAATAATTTTAATTATAGAAACGAAAGAAGTTAGAATCAATCAATGTAAACAACAGTCACTGTGCGAAAATAAAAATAAAAACATACTTACAGCTAAATCGATAAAGAGGGTATTACTCAATGAAAGAAAATCTCACCATATATTATAATATGGAATATATTTTTCGATTATTATGAGTGGGATAGGGGAAACACTTAAACAAACTACTTTTCAACATACATTGTAACGTAATCAAATAATCAAAATAGAAGAATACGACTATATTATTCCAGGGGAAAAATCTATAGACCGGTAATATTCAGTTTTCATATTTTCTTACCAAGTGAAACTATCGAACTTCAATCCAAATAGAAATCATCAATGTGAATTGTTATGTGGCTCCTTTCATAAGTTGAAAAAACTGTTCAGTGGGTTCATACTACTTAGGCCTATTACCCCTTTGGTAGGAGCGTAGACCACTCATCAGCATTCTCGATTCAACACTGTCCTGGAAAATTCTTTCCATTTGTTTCTAGTTGGTATTCATCCTTTTCATATCTACAATGTGTTCCTTGACCTTTTTCTTTTTTGTTTCTATTCAAGATTCCAAGTTAGAGCTTGGTGGTTTCCCCAATGTATGTCGTTTCTACCTACAGCATCTTTTCCTATATCCTTATTCAGTTACAAGCTGATTTGTTTTCTCCTTCAGTAGGTTATTGCTGATGGTATCCGGTCTACGGACACTGAGTATCTTGTGTAGACAATTGTATATAAATACTTGTATTTTTTCAACGATCGTTGTGGTAGTTCTGGAGGTTTCAGCTTCATACAGTAGAAATGTCCCGACGTTCGTATTGAACATGCTAACCATGGTATTGGTTGATAGTTGTTTTCGAATTTCATACGTTCGTTAACTGTAATAATGCTGCTGTTACTTTGCCAATCCTTGCATTTAGGTCTGCATCCGATCCTCCTCGTTCATCGATGATGCTGACCAGGTAGGTGTAAATTTACACCTGTTCCAGAGTTTCTTCATCGAATGTGACCGGGTCATTTTCCGCAAGTTCCGTTGATAGTGAAACCGCATGATATTGAATAACCGTATAGTTATA